GTCTAGTGATCTATATAGTAGTTAGGTTATCAGACTGCTATATAATAGATCTGGAGTTCAAATCTCTCTGTTAACAAATTTGAATAATTTCTTAACCTTGTAATATATTACAGTAAACTCTATTCATTTCTGAGGGTATATTTTTATAAATTGAGTTGCATTAAATCAATCAGAACTTAGAAGTATAGCATAATATTGTATAAATAAATCTTGATAGAATATACGAGCAGAAGACCTATATAGTAGAAATTTTGAGTCAATAAAGTAGTACAGCCTTCTAACAAGACTATATTAGCTAAAGTTTAATCTGAGAAGAAAACTCAGTCTAATAAAAGTAGAAGGTTTTGAAGTCTTTAGACAAGAGTAACTAGAACTAACTAAATACTGAAAAAAGACTAAGTTAACAGACTAGTAGAGAATCACAGTAAAATCTGAGGTTGTACAAATATCTATAAGGGTCTAAACTAGGTAAATCTGTAAAATAAATATGAACTGCTCTAGTAAGTTTGCTTTGAGGTTAATTAACTCTGCAATACTAGTAATACATCTTGTATAAGTATTTCAAAAGGATCTAAACTATTCTGAATAAATAGATTCATAACAAGCTAGCTAGCTTAAGTAATTAGATATTACAGTGATGTTAGATTAGATCTGTATGAGTTAATGAACAGAGTGTTTAAATAGATAACTCACAAATAGGTTACAGGTATAGTTGTATAGTATAGAACCAATTAGATAGCCTAATGCCTATATAGCAGACTACTTAAAATAGATAATAACAAAAGTTATATATATAGCTTGTTATATACTCTTCATGTAATTACAAATAGTAGAGATTATTAATATATAACTCTATTGACAATACTAATAAAATTCCTTTAGCCATATAAGCTGCTTTAATAACAAAAAAAAAAAAAAACTAGTAAACTTATAGTTTCCAATACTAGCTCTAATACAGATAGAGCTATTGAATAACTTACTAATCAGATAGCTGAGCTGAGTATTAATCTTGCTAAGAAACAGACTACCTCTATCTCTAAATCAATTTACTACTTTGATAATAATAATAACAAGAACAGATTTAATAATTATAATTAACAAGACACTACTTGCTTTTACTATAAAAGTAAAAGATATTTTATTAAAGATTATTACAAACAAAAGAAGACTATTAATATAATTTTTACTCTAATTCTCAACTCAGTTACTACTCTAATAATAATTTATACTCTAACAACAACTATTAATTGAATAATAGAAAAACAATAATGACCACTCTTATAATTATTCTTAATCTTGAGAAAAGAATAGATTATATAATAACAACTAATTCTATAACTGTTTTAGATATAATGATATATTAAAAAGCTAAGAAAGAAGTTACTTAAGAAATAGATATAAAAATTAAAAAAGAGATAATAATAGCAAAAGCAAATCTGAAAGCTAATTCTCTACTTTCTATTTTAGAGAAGCTTATACTATAGATCTTATTAATGATTATGATTTTAAACAATTTGAATTTTATTTCTTTAATAAATTAATACAAACTGTTATCAAAATCTATTTTGTTATTCTTTCTTCTAATAACACTATTCAGATCTCAACTCATATTATATTTATAAAATATAATATTAAAATCAAAAATAAACTTTATTAGATTATTATTGATAGTGATACTTTAATCAGTATAATCTTATATCAGATTGTTAAAGAATTAGAACTCAAGATAGATACCTACTCCTCTAGTTTAATTGTATAGCTACAGAATCTTCTATTAGACCCTTAAAAATAATTAAAAACCTTCTTATAAAAATTAAAAGAATAACTATTCTATTAGATGTAGAAGTTATAGATGCTATCTCTTATTCTTTTCTTCTAAGCAATAATTAGTCTTAAAAAGTTGAAGCTACCTATAATTAGAAAAATAGTACTTATACTTTAAAATAAAATAACAAAAAAATTCATATACTTACTACTTATGAACAAAGCTAACTCTTATCTACTCAACTAACTAACTATAAAAGAATAGCATAAATTAGCTTAGTTTGAATAAGAATTTTTATTCAAAAAAGAAGTTTATTTAGATGATACTCTACTAATAACAAGCTTAAATATAGATAATACCTAACTCAGGATTACTTTAGTCTCTAGACATAAAAATAAAATTTCTCTAAATAGTAAATATAGAAGATATAGTAACTGCTATTCAAATAAACATATCTTTGCAAACTGCTTTAATAATCAATATAATTAATACAAAAGACTAGAATATATCTTTGCATATTGCTTTTACAACTTATTTAAACTAAACTACTATAAGGTATATAATAGTACTAAGTATTAATATACTGATTGCCTATATAACTATTGCTATCAATACAATAAGTTTAAATATATTAGTATTTGATGTTCTCTTGTTCCTCTTAAAAAGAATAATTAATAGTATAGATATGGATATAGTTGAGATAAAGTAGAAGATAGACAAATAGTTTACTATAGTTACAAAAGAATAAACTATTGCTATAAATACAAAACTCTTTAGATATTAGATGATATTTATCTCCTTAATAATACCCTAATATATAAAATTTGTTAGACTAATTTTTACTAATAACTCTCTAGAAGAGACCTATGAAGTATTGAATACTCTATAAATAGTAATAGACAAAACCTTCTTACTAAGTATGTTTTTTATAAAGAAAAATATATTAGAACTAGAATGCATAAACTAGATACAATCTAAGAAAATTCTTAATTTTGTAATCTAGAATACTTCTATACATATAAAATAGCTCAAGATATAGAATAGAACTCTAACTATAATTTATAGATCAAAGTATATCACTATACTGAATCTACTAGGAATGCAGAATATGCATATAACCTAAACTAAAGTATAATCTTTTGCTTTACTAAAATTCAGCTAGATAAAAGTAACTAAAATATTGTAAAAGCTCTTAAACCCCAAATAAATGACTAATTTAATCAGAACTATTTAGATAATAATATTAGCCTTATTATAAGAGCATCTCATATAACTTTTTTAAAAACAGAACAAGAAATTTTGGATCAAATTCTACAAGAATTCTTTAACTAGACCTACTGTGAATTCAACTACTATAAGGTATTAGAAAACTTTAAAAGAATTTCAACAATAAAATAGCCCTTTGCAAAAATTACTTTATGTCTAAGTAGAAAGCAAAGCTTGAACAATATAAGAAAAATTGTTAAGAATGCTATAAAGAATTAAACTCTAAATCTTAACTAGAATCAGAAGTAGAACTATAATTAGAAAACCTCTCTGTTTAATCTGAATTATCTTCTCAATCCCAAATTTGACCTGAACTCAACCAAAGTAAATTCATTAAATTATTATAATAACAAGTTAAACAATAGGCTCAGATTATTGTTCTTCTCTAAGTCTAAGCCAAGACTTTCAATTATCAGATTCAGACTATTAAAATTCTTCAGAATAAAATTAATAGTTTTGAAAGATTCTATCAACAGATAGAATATCTATATTAAGAATAATTTTTTCAAGTAGATAGTAAATAACTTACTACTTCAACAACCTTCTTCTTAAATTTTTAAATTATCTCAAGCAAGATAAAAAAACTACTTAGTAACTCAAATAAACTTCTCTCAGAACTTGAAGCCTTAGAATCAGCCTTAAATAATAATTTACAGAAGAAAGAAATATATATAATCTCTCAAGAAATAGCTCTGAAATAGAAATGTTAATCTTAGACCAAGAAATAAAATTTAAACAATTACTTAAAGAATTTGCAGACCTCTTTGCAAAAGATATAACTTAACTAGGTAGAACTAACCTAGTAATATACAAGATATATACTGAAGATATACTTTTAATTAGTTCTCAACCTTATTCAGTATCTATTACTAAACAAACCTTTATTAATGAAAAAGTACAATAAATATTAGACAATAGATTAATCAAAGAATCAACTAACCTCTGAACATCTCCAGTTGTATTAGTTATGAAGAAAAATAGAAAGAAAAGATTTTGTGTAAACTATAGAAAGCTTAATGCAATAACCAAGAAAAACACTTATCTTTTACCTCATATAGATAAACTTTTAGACTTCCTTACAGGAACTATGTATTTTCTACTCTTGATCTTATGAGTAGATATTAGCAAGTAATGATGCACCCTGCAGATAGAGAAAAAACAGCTTTTATCACTAAATATGGTACTTACGAGTTCAATATAATGCCATTTGAATTGTGCAATGCTCTTGCTACTTTCCAACGACTTATGAATCAGATTTACATATTACAGTATTAATTATAGTATTAATTCTTATTACATGGCCCACTTACTGAAGTGGGGTCCCAAACCGTACATATAATGCAAACTAAATATTGAAATTTATCCTCAACGTAATAATACCCTACTTGTATTAGATTTCAAAATTCTAATGTTTTTCATAATATCTTACTGTTGCTACTTAATTATCTTTATTTTTTTTATCCAATGGAGTTTATAATTGGACCCACAACTTCATACTGTATTAGTAATCATATGTTTATTTACACAATTTTTTGAATTTAGATTTATTCTAACTTTCAAAACAATAAAAATCTTAGCCTTTTGGCAATACTGTACTTTCGATTCAGCACAACTAAACTGCTCATCTTCGGCAGATTTTTTAGTAAAAACATCGCGACACTTTCGAGACTACCATGTCCAAACTATAAAAAATCATTTTAATCACATGAGAATTACAATGTGACTTTAACGGAGTAAAAATGTGCTTATCGAACAAGCAAATTTGCATGCGAAATTCTACATAATTTTAAGTAAAACACCCTACCTTATTTTCCAAAGGTGACTAAATGGAATTTGTTTATTTTTAATACGCAAAATTTAGAATGAAATTGAATATTTTCATTATAGTATTATAAAAATTCTATGAAGTTTTCTGTATATTTTTAGCAAAAGGAAAATCTTGAGTCATGAATGTCAATATATCTGTATATTAAATTTTTGGTAAGTCATTATAAATAGACTTTTCAATTTCGGATTGAAAATATGAATCTAAATTAATAGGTTTTGAATGTTCTTGTAAATATTTTAAAGTATTTTTTGCAACTATTAACACTGAAGGTGGAACTCCTATAAAGATGAATACGAATAACAATTAGAATAGATATAATATCCCGCGTTTAAATATAAAATCCGATTAAAATTAACCTGCAAGCTGTGCAGCCTTCAAAGCTGCCGAATTCCGGTTTACGCCTTCTTTTATTTGATGAAGGTAATAAAAACTTCCATCCTTGAAATTCATTCATAAATAAACAGACTCATTAAATGATTTTGAATTTTGAGAATTAGTAAATAGCACATCATGCACTACACTGCATAATTTGTTTTAGCTAATATGAGAGCAAACATTTGTTGTTAAAGTTAAAGATGGGCAATTGTATGCATGCCATACAAAGTACACAATTAATCCCGGCCAGAATTAAGAAATTAAGTCATAATTTTGGCCAGAGTATGCTGCATATGCTAAGATAAAAATTTTATATTTTGCCCATCTCTAGTTTGAATAGATTGTATGCTAAAATTTAGCAAAAAAGGTTTTTTTTTGTGTTGAGCCCAAAATAAATTTGAATAATAGGCAAAATTTACGCTACACCTGAACTCGCGTCTGTTAACATTACGCCTAATCTACAATTTTATTGGCCGGTCGGGAGAGAATGCAATACGGTGCATGTGCACATAATTCTGAACTCTTGAATTTTTTACATATCAAGGAAAAAAAAATACCTCATTTTCTTGAATATTTGTACAATAGCATGCAGCATTCTCAAAATTTACCATTAGATTTGGTAGTTCATGAAAATGAGTAGCAAACAATGTTCTGCAGCGGTTTATATAGTGCAATTGGTATAAAGTTGCAAACGAAATTGCAATTCCATCTAAAGTAGCTGTTCCACGACCAATTTCATCCATAATGACCTTTATCAAGGTTGAAATAAAGAAATAAGCAGTGTATTGGTCAGATAAATGTAAAAAGTGGCAGCATACACGTACAAAAGATTTTGGTGTTGCATTTCTTAGAATATGAGCCGTTTCAATCATTTCAACCATGAATGTAGATTGATCTTGATATAAATTATCAGAAGCACCAACCTTGAAATAAAAATAAACCAATTAATTAACCTTATGATGGAATATTTTAGAGTTTTTACATACTCTACTTAATATTTGATCAACTATGCCAATTTCCGCATAATCAGCTGGAACGAATGATCCTATTTGCGCTAAAATTGAAATAATGGCGTTTTGACGCAGGTATGTACTCTTTCCACCCATATTCGGTCTGAATAGCCAATAAAATATTTGGGGCTGACAAATATGAGGCAATTATACCTTTCTGTAAAACTCAGAGTCAGCTACTTGACATCATGTGATGTGTAGCAAATGTGAAATATATCCAAATTATGTGATAAATCAATAATATTACATACTTTATCGATGATTTTAAAAAGAGAAACTGATGGTCTAATCACGTTAATAAAATAATCTAGTTAGAAATCTAAATTATAATACAGTATAACCTCCCTAAACCGATATGCATGGTGGCTAGCTTTTGTATCAGTTTTAACAGGTTATTGGTTTTGAAATACTAATAACCTATTAGCTATATAACTTTAAACAATTATGGTTGGCTAATTTATTTTTTTATATTTATAATATGTTATACAAATCTAATTTGAGCCAATCAAATCAATTTCAATTTATTTTACCTATCAAATCTGATATCTTATAATTTTTAAGTATCAGTTATCAGGTTTGACTTATGAAATAGACATGGTGGCTCAATTTTTTATCAGTTATCACAGATTATCAGTTTTGACAGGATCAGTTTTGGGAGGTTATACTGTATCATTAAACCTCTTATCTTGTGATAATCTTATTGTGCAATATTTTGAATGCCATACGTCACATATTGTCAAGTAAATGACTCGAATGACTTTCCCAGAAGGCATAATTATCACATATTTGTTAGCTCCCTTTAGAATTAAGATTAATAAACAGCATAGATTAAATAATAATATACGCACAGATGAAGTTACCCAGTTAATATAAACAATCGTTTATTATCGCCAACAGAGCAATCATTCTTCACAAACTGACGTCCTTTTGATTGAAGTCCTGCTTCCACTACAGGATGTCGGCCACCCACAATTTTATGTGAATGACTATGAGAATAAACTATTAAATAAAAATGTATATTTTCTTGGAAAATAATGCTAAATATTGTTGACGCATACCTATAATTCAAAATAGGCCGCACAAAATTCTGTTCTCGAGCTAATACAGCAAATGAACTTGCTATGTCCAATTCATCGACAACTCGCGAATTTTGTACAGTCAAATGCCATTCTTCTACTATCTTTAGTCAAATAAACAATTAAAATATATTACCCCCAAAAAAGGGTAAACAAATTTCAATAAATTTAATTACCTTTTTTTGAATTAATTGAAAAGCTTTCTTTTCCTCTTCCCTTATCTTTGACTTTATATCATCGATTTGTCCACCAAGTTGTGTCCATTTCTTATAACAAGTCAATTTAAAAAGTAAAAATCATAATGGCATAATACACGTTGGTCTATGAAATACCTGGATAATGAACCACTTCCTATGCTTAAAGTGATGAATACGAGTCGCGTTTAGTATGCGTTCAATATCATTATTATTTCGAACTTTCTTGACGGCGACGATGAATCCATAGCTTGGATGTGATCGAAGTTCTACAGAACCATCTAAAAATACACGAATAATAAAATAATCCATATTCAACAAAAAAACAATAATTAACTGCTAAATAAATATTTCATTCATTTACTTAATTTATCTTTCCAGCGATTTCTAAGTTCAATCATATCTCGATATTTTATTTCAAGTTGTCCATGCAATTTCAATAAACTTGGAGAAAAGCTGAAATTTCAAATGCATAATTAGTTAAAAGGTTAAAGTAAACAATGAAAGCGTATTCTCACTTTTTTTTGATGACCCAATTATCATTTTTTACTATTGACGCGAAATCTTCCTCAAAGGTGGAACCTTCAAAATTTTGACCATTTTTTTTTCGCTTGTTAGAATTTTTTTTTTTCGTTGCCGGTTCTTCTTCATCATTGGCACTAAAATCAATTTTTTCGGCATTTTCAGAGTCAATAACAATCTCAGGAATGATACTTCCATCAGAATTGTATTGTTGAGTCTCTTTCATTTTATTTAACATATCTTCATCAATGGCTTCAGATATAGTGTTTATAAGATCTTTTTGTGGTTGTACACGTTCCACAAGCATTTTCATACTAGCATCAGGAGCAATATGAAGCTCTGATTGCAACCGATTTTTTATAATAAGCATTGATTCAAATGTACGTTTTAGTTTTAAAAAATCATCAGGATTACAATAAGCAAAAGAGATTTTTTGTGATGTCCTCTGTATATCATCACAATTTTCCAGAGTTTGACGAATATCACTCGTAATATGTGTATTATTGCAAAAATATTCAACAAGGTTTAAGCGATTATTTATTACATTTATTGATGTTGTTGGAAAACCTAAAATTTCTTATTTATTAACTTACACAATTTGTAACTTTTAAGAACACAAATACATAACACTTACATAACCACCGATCCAATGTTCGGGCACCGGAA